CTGCGTCCGCCATACTGTGGGGCACATAATAGCACACGGAGTTGACGTTCGAACCATTGTAAAGTAATAGCTGTGTTCCGACGATGCTGCCACGACTTTGTAACTTGTCCTCTCTTATTAAACAATCTGCCCAAATGAAGGCAAATGGAGGGACACTTAATAATCTACTTTGTACGGGACGTAGGTATCAGGAAAGTGATGGGCAAGACACTTATTCCAGTTTTTAATACAGTAATGTGGAGACGTTAATTGCCATCAATCACTACGAAAGTATATATTCCAGTAACTGTGTCTGTTAATGTTAAAATATTGACCTCTGTGAACCTAGGCTCGACCCAGAAGACTAGGTCGATTAATTATTGTCCCCAAATACGGACTCTGTCGGACTAATATTTTCGGTTTAGCGAAAAAAAAGCGCTCCTGAAAACCAAATTCAGCATCTGCGTTTCAGCTTGATAGCCATGGAAAGTTATTGAGTTAGTTAATTGGTAAGGCTGGCATAAAGGTGTCACCAGAAGATCACATAACCCCTATAATGCACAAACGGTAGTAAGGTATAAAATATTCCTATGGCGTGTAGCGATAGCAAATATCTATTTATTCTACCCCAAATGATTCTTTACAACTGTTGAAAAATAACTTGAGCGAAACTACAGGCATAGTAAATATGTAGACACTTGCACAGGATGGAAGCATTGCATTAATAAAGAAGCTTTTTCATTAGTCGTAACGTCTGGTAACGTCTGGTTTTGAAACCTAATGATTAAGGTTGTAGTACTGATTATCATGAAGTCTATTCTGAAGTCATTTCAGTCACGATAGGCTGCCGGCTTTTCAACGAACTTCTTTCACACCACCAACAAAACGTATGTACTGTAAATAATGGCTACTTAAGTAGTATGCATTTTTATCATTTATTTTGACTGCCTTTAAAAATTCAAATATATTTTATGGAAAAAATAAACGAAAAATATTATTTCTTGTATTCGTTTGGTAGGAAATTAAGCCTACTTTAAATTGTATACTTAAAAAAAAGATAACTTTCGGTGTTAAAAAGTTTCTAAATGGCCAATTATTTTTAAACCTACTGACTGCTACACTTGAATTCAAGGCTTACAAACTGCGCGCTGTGTACATCCTGTTTAAAGAAAAGTACATTTTCTCCTACAGTTTGAGGAAGAAGTCCCATAGTTTTCATAAAATATTGGACAGATGTGGACCACGCTCTATACATTACAGGCAACATTAACAAATTGATGGATGTGATGTATAATGAATGAACACCTCACAGTCGTAAAAAGCTCATAATTAGAAACTTTTTAAAACCGCATTATACCCTTTCTTTAAGTGTACACTTTAAAGAAGGCGTAATTTGCTGCCAAACGTCTACAAGAAATAATTTTTCGTGTATTTTTCCCCTAAAATGTATTTGAATTTTTAAAGGCGTTCAAAATCAATACTAAAAATGAATACTGCTTAAGCGGCGACTTTTTACAGTACATACGTTTTGTTAGCGGTCAGAAATAACCTCGTAAAAACCGGGTATTTCGCTTTTTCTCTGCGTCTACGTAGACCTCGCTTGCTCTCTTTGTTACGACCCGCGCCCGGTACTTGTAATTAGCATGAACACTTAGCTATCCCAGCCATTGCTCCGAACGCCCGTACGAGAAAACAAGAGAAGCCAGTTAGCCAGGAGGTTAGGTGTGCTCACACAGAATAAGCCAAGCAATTCAAGTCTTACAAAAGGCTGCAGGGTATCTATTTAGTCCGCTCCATGAGCAGGCGTCAGCGAAAGGGGACTAATCAGCTATCAGGAAAAAATCGATAGCCACAGCGCGCGCTCTCATGACAGCGGTGTGGTGTTGCCCTCGGTGGCTATTTTGTAAGATGCGTAGTCGTGGAAACCGTTGCATTCCCAACACTCATACTCTAGAGTATTTTTTCCACTTCCACCCAGGTTGTCTTCAAAAATGAATTGAATCAAAAGCGCCTGCTGTTTGATTTTGTTGGGCGACCTTTTGTGAGTACCTACGGACATTGTCAGTTGGCCCGGGAGCAACTGTTAAGCTCCAAATCCTACATGGACACTCCGGAGGGCAATTGTTTGCCCGCACAGCTACTGCGGGCGGACGGACGAGATCCGAGTGTGGGTCTGGTGCTGTATCGCATTCAGCTTTGTGTCCTGTCCACTCCTCCACAGGACGTTGTCTCACATCTCACCGACTCCGCAGCCCCCGTTCCTCACTTGGCCCTCTACGGCGAGTTTGGGGATACCGGACGAAGACCAGTGGCGTTGGTTAACCCGAAGACTGGTCCTATCCAGGAGAACACAGATAAACCGTTGCAGGTACTTGCTACACCTTTAACAACTGTCTTTCAGGGTCTCTTCAGGTCAGGTCAGATACTTTAATTACTTT